GAGCCAGAGTGGGAGCAGAGCAGGCAGAAGAACCGAAGTACACTGCTGAGGGGAGCAGCAGGCGGCAGGAGAGGTCTGCGCGCCATGTGGGACCCTCCTCTGGTGGCCAGGGAGCAGCCGGGGATCGAACCAGTGCCACAGAGGCCGCGGGCAGCTTCGCAACCCAGCGCTCAACCACTGCGCCACCGGGGAGGCCCCAATAAAATAATTCTTTAAAAAAAAAATGAGTGCATTTCTAGTTCCCTTTTCTCTAAACATTTCAGAATTACTGACGCTCTAGCCACACAAAACTTGCTGCCTTGCCAATTTCGAAGCATCAGCAACCTTCACAGTTTGGGGAATGCTCAATGAGTCCTTCCGCTATGAGTCTCAGTGGGGTTGGAGCCCAATGCTAGATCTCAGGCTATTTCATATTGTAAAAGACAATTAAAATATAAATCATAAAAACCTTCACTCTCCCTTTCTGCCCCCAAGAACATGAAGGTGTTCCTTTCTCTGATGCTGTAACAACAAAATATATTGAATGAAAGACTAAAGAGTGACAGCATTTGATCAGCAAGGCATCAGGACTACCCCGGGCTGACTACATAGGTCACAGCCCAGCCTACACATGATTAAGAATTCCTTCTTGCTGGGAGAGCTTGCTCTTCCCCACTGTGGTGAGTTGTTTATAAAAACAGCCCCTATCCTTGAGTGACAGTCTCTGCAAAGGGACTTTGGACTTTGTTGTTCCCACCATCAGAAGGAGGAGGGTGTTTCCACCCCCGAGTCTAGTTTTGCCCGTATGACTGTTTTGCCAAAGGGACATTAGCAAATGTGACGCCAGCAGAGGCGTGAGAAGCGTCTGCGCAGGGAGCATGCCCTCTCTTGCTCCCAGGAACTCTTCCATGTCACGTGAGCAGGCCTGGGCAAGCCTCCAAGAGGGTAAGAAAGTGCAGTCACCCCAGACCACCCAGTTTCAACACGTCAGGCCAAATCAGAATCACCAGCTGACCCATGGAACTGTGGACAAATACAATTCCGATTGTTTTAAGCTGCTAAGTTTTGGGTAATTTGTCACATAGTAAAAGTAAACCAATGAATTCAACTGTGTGTTTCATTTCTTGAACTCTGGCTTTATTTACAGACTTGAAGGAGTATAAAGAATTGATCACAAGCAGAAATGTGGTGTAACACACAGAAGAAAAATTTTTAAGAAGTTCCTTGAGGAATTTAATATAATGTTCCTCAAACTGTTCCACAGAATAACATTTTCAGAATAACATTTTCAGAAATCTAACCCAAACAAACACAGAATGGTTCTGGGTTTGTAGATATGGAGGGTCCTTGTGGCATTATTTGTAATAATAAGAAAGTAGAAGAAACCTAGGTATTAATAATTAGGGACAATAATAATAAAGTGTGGTTTATAACAAAAGAAAAAGCAAACGGTTGAATGTTTTTGAAACGAACTGTTCTACTAACCACCTTTTTGCATTCATTTGCCACAGTAGGTATCAGCAGCCAAGAATCTGCCTTTTAATCTGAAGTAATTACTTATTGCACTGGGAACTTCCATTCACATATGAAATTTTCCCCAGAGTCACAGGTATGCAGCAAGTGACTGGTTTAGACAGCCAGAGTCAAGGGTAGGATATATCTAATTAATCCTTTGTAAGAAATGTTCCTAACTATATAAAAAAAAAATTCACCTTTTCCCCCTGAGCATCAGAGATTTTTAAAATGTATTGCTCCAGTATAACTCATGATGAACAAAAAGTAGAAAGAACCCAAATACCCCTCCACTGATGAAGGGGTAAACAAATGTGATACAGTGACACAGTAGAATATTATTTGGACATAAAAAGCAATGAAGTGATGACATATGCTACAGCATGGATGAACCTTGAAAATATTATCCTAAGTAAATCAGACAAGTCTAACACAAAAGGTGGAGTGATGAAAATGTCCTAAAATTGATTGCGGTGATGGTTGTGGTGAACATATAAAAAAAAAAACCCACTTAATTAAATTATTTATTTATTTATTTATTTATTAAGCACATTCTTTTTTTTTTAAGATTTATTTATACAAGCACTGGGCACGGTCAGAAGCGCGGGAGGGTGAGAGAATCCACCAGAGCCAGAGTGGGGAACAGAACAGGCAGACCGACGAAATACACTGCTGAGGGGAGCAGCGGGCGCGGCAGGAGAGGTCCGCAAGCCATGTGGGACCCTCACCAGGCTGGCAGCCAGGGATCGAACCAGCGCTGCAGAGGCTGCAGGCAGCTTCACAGCCCAGCGCTCAACCGCTGCGCCACCAGGGGAGGCCCTAATTAAATGATTTAAATTGCTGAATTGGTATTTAAATAGGTGAATAGTATATGGATTACATTTCCTATATGGATTACATTTCCATAAAGCTGTTTGGAAAAAGCCCAAGGAAATATATGAATGTATCTACCATCCTATCTTCTATGGTGTGAAATATAAATTAGTACTTATTATAATGTTATATAAACATGTATATTTAAGTCCTAGTAAAAACCTTGGTCTCCTCATTTTTTTAATTAACAAAAAGGATATTTTTTTACTTATTGTAGACTCATTAAGTCTCTAAAAATCCATAAATTTCCAATTTTTTTGGCTCTGCCCTAACATACAACAGAGGGTAATTAAAACAAACCAACAAACCCAGAGATCCTGACTAAAACCTGAAGGTGTTTCTGGTGAATGGTAATGGATCTCGAAAACATGGGCTCTTTTAGATAGAAATGCACAAAATGAGGCCTTCCTTGTGGTGCAAGAGGTTAAGCCGCAGTATTATGAAGCTATCGGCAGCCACTGCAGTGTGAGTTCGATCCCCAGGCCTGGAAGCTAGCCCACATGGCACAGCAGACCTCTCCTGTCTTGCTCACTTTCCCTTCAGCAGTGTATTTCAGTCAATCTGCCTGTTATACTCCCCACTTTGTCTCGGGTGAATCCTCTCACCCCACCCTGTACCTCTGGCCTGCACCCCAGTTTTTGTATGCATAAATAAAATAAATCTTTAAAAAAAGCAAATTTATAAAATAAATAACTGTGGTGATACGAGGCATGAAGTTTTCTCCCCATTATTAAAAAAAAAAAAGTATTGATGAGTTTCATTAGGAAACAAGTTCCCCTAATAGGTATAAAAGAATTTCACAGATATAGAAAAACAATCCTAAAACTTGTGTGGAGCCAAAAGGACCCTGGATAGCAAAGCAATTGTGACCAAAAGAGAACAAAAAAGGAGGTATCATATGCCCAACTTCAAACTATACTACAGATCTATAACGATCAAGACAGCAAGGTATTGGACTAAAAACAGACATGGAGATCACTGCAACTGAACTGAAAGTCCAAAATAAACCCACACTTAGATGTTAACCTATGACAAGGCGCCAAGAGTATACAATGGGGAAGTCTCTTCAGTCAAGATAACCACATGCAAAAGGATGAAACGCTCTTTTTCTAACAAGGGATATAATACATGTAAGAATTCATACAACTCAACAACAGCAAAAAACAATTAAAAATGGGTAAAGGATCCGAATAAACACTTCTCCAAAGAAGACACACATCCGTCAAAAGGCACATAAAAAAATGTTCATTGCTTCCCTGGGGAAATGCAGATCAAAACCACAAATAGACATCTCACCTCTGAGAATGGCCTATATGAAAAAGATAAGAAACAAGTGTTGGCAAGGACACTGAGAGAAGTGAACTCTTATACACTCCTAGTGGGAATGTAAACTGGTGCAGCCATTATGGGAAATAATATGGAGATTCCTCAAAAATTTAAGATTAAAAATGCCCTATTTTCTAATCTAACTATTCCACTTCTGGGTATTTACCCAAAGAATATGAAAATACTAATTTTCATATTATCTGCACTACTATGTTCATTACAACATTATTTACAATAGCCAAGATATGGAAACAACCTACATGCCCATCAATGGATGACTGCATAAAGAAAATGTGGTATATATACTCAATGGAATACAACCCAGCTATAAAAGAAATATTAATTTTGCCATTTGTGGCAGACAAAGAGATGGACTCGGCAGGTTAGTTATGTTTAATGAAATAAGTCAGACAGAGAAAGACAAATACCTTATGATTTCACTCCTATGTGGAATACAAAGAAACGAAATAAATGAACAAATGAAATAAAAGAAACTCTTAGATTGTAAGGACAAATGGTGGCTACCTGAAGAGGAAGGGAGACAGAAATTAGACTTTTGGTGCTCATAATGCAGCATATACAGATGTTATAATGCTGTGTACATGAAAACTATACGGTTTTATTTTTTTTTATTAATTTTTTTTATAGAGGCATGTTTTATTTATTTATTTATTTGTTTGTTTGTTTGTTTTGTTTATACATGCACTGGGTACAGTCAGAAGCGCAGGAGGGTGAGAGAATTCACCAGAGCCAGAGCGGGGAGCAGAGCAGGCAGAAGGACCGAAGTACACTGCTGAGGGGAGCAGCAGGCGGCAGGAGAGGTCTGTGCGCCATGTGGGACCCTCCTCCCGTGGCAGGGGAGCAGCCGGGGATCGAACCGGCGCCTCAGAGGCTGCGGGCAGCTTCGCAACCCAGCGCTCAACCGCTGCGCCACCGGGGAGGCCCCGAAAACTATAAGGTTTTAAACCCAATCTTCAATAAAAATTTTTATAAAAAGATGAATTTGATTTAGGGAAAGACCTGTGAACCCTCAACTTTTACAAAGATCTATATAAACTGTACCATGGACATGTGGTAGGCTTGCTAGCCACTTGCATTGGGAACAATCCCCTTACCTCATAATGAATCCACCCTGGACCAGAATTCCAGTTAATGACACCAAGCAGCTTAAACCAGAGATGGGACAGCTGTTATAAAAACCTTCTCATGCCCACGGGTTTAGCATCTGCCCAATACCCATGAACAAAGACTCAGCCTCTACACCAGAGGCTCAGAATCCAAGCAAATAGGAAGAAGAGGCAGGGCCTCACCTCAGGAATCAGCCGCCTCCGCTTCACGCTGGGGACGGAGTCAGCCTGGCTGTCGTTGCCCGGCTGCTTTCGCTTGCTGGAGTCATGGAGGGCAGTGAACACAGTGTCCAGAGGGTGCTTCTCAGAAGACCTGGAATTCACCGAGCAATCCAGGGCAGCATCTTCAACCTCTGTCTCCACTTTCACAATGTTGGTTTTTAGAACTGTGGCAGAGAAGAAGTAGGGTTCACTGGGCCGCTCACAGATTAGCAGGATTCCCTGAGCAACAGGCTGATTATGGGACACTCTGACAGTAGTAAGATAATAATGTCTAGTCACAATAAAACTGGGCTTTCCAAAGCAATTTTTATCTTACCACACTAGTGGCATACAATAAAACCATGTCCCAAGAACACTTTTTTCAAAAGTGGTAAAAGTCTTTCATAAGGGGTGTGGAGGGAGAGGAGATGAAGGGAAAGAAACAAATACTTTATCTTTTAAAAGATACTTTTAAAAAATAAATCTGGAAAGATACAGACAATACTTATAAGAGTTATGTGGTTGGAGGGGGATGGGAACCAGGGGTGAAAGAGATTACTTTCCATTATATTTCCTTTTATATTTTTGAACCAAGTGATTGTATCAGGTCATACATTCTAAAAATATTTTTAAAGATTTTTTTTCTTTACCTTCTTCTATATCTTCACTGAAATCAGTTGAGTTCATCTTCTGTTTCACTAAATGAAAAGACAAAGATAGTCTTGATTTACTTCTTAAATTTCTCTACCCATGAGAAATTCCTTCACCCTCCCCACCCTGGCTCTGGGTAATAGAAGGTTAAATCGACACTGCTCTGCAATATCATGGAAAATCACATCCTCTTATTCTTGTTTGCAGTTGCTCAGAAACAGCCAGGCCTCCGGTGCACCTGCTGGGTACAGTTTTCCAAGACTTTATGTGGGCAGATCGCATCTTAAAGCACTGATTGAGAGAGCCATTTACTGAGCAAGGGGAATGTTATTTGAGAAAATCAAGTTTTACAAAAACCCTAGTATGGGCAATGTCCTGTTTGTCCATGCTTTATAAACTTCAGTCACAAAATGAAAAGGCCAGCTAAGGATGAAAGCTGTGGATCTTTAGGATTCCAGGAGGGCCAGCAAGAAACATGCTTTCCTTGTTGATAGCCACTCTTAACAAGTGGATCCTGAGGACTTGCAATGTGGCCACTCCAAATGCAGACATGCTCTAACGGTAAATTACACTGGTCTGAGATAGCAAAAAGAACGTAAAGTATCTCACTAATTTTTAAACTGCTTACATACAGAAATTGTATAGATGTATAGGGCCAAGTAAAATATTAAAATTAATTTCATCTTTAAAAAAATATGGCTACTAGAAAATTTTTAATTACATATGTGGTTTGCATCATATTTTTGTTGGATGGGACTGGTTTAGTTCCTCTTTCAAAAGCCACAAGGAGAAAGAGGTACGGTGGGTTTTTTAAGCTCTCAAGCTCCACAAGATCTGGTCCAAAGACTTCTTTTCTGTGACAAAGAAATCAATGGAGAAGGGGTGGAGCCTGTGAGGGGGGAGACCTAGGCCCCCACAACTCCCACCACTCCCAGAATGGAACTGACATGATGTGTCCATGCAGTGTATCAGGTATAAATGGGGTGGTAACAACTGGAAAAGAATACCCATGACAGTCTCACTGCTGACACTGTTCCCACAACTGACTGAACCGCACGCAATTGCTGAGCTCCCACTTTAAGGATTAGAGGACATGAGAACCAGGATTATCTCTTTGAAAATGTTTATAAGGAAGAGGGAAGCCACCTACAAATCATTCACCAAATAGCCATGGAATATCAATAGGTATGGTCCCAGATTTAGACAGGTGAATAGTAGTGGGGGAGGGGGCAGTTAGAACTGGTGTTGAGGTGACCTGTGCACATGATAAAAAGTTCAAAATTCAGGCCTCCCTGGTGGCGCAAGGGGTTAAGCACAGCACTGTGGAGCTGTCCACAGCCTCTGCAGCTGAGTTCGACCCCTGGCCAGCCAAGGAGCTACCCACATGGAACAGCTGACCTCTCCTGTCTCGCCCACTGCTCCCCTCAGCAGTGTATTTCAGTCAGTCTGCCTGCTCTGTTCCCCACTCTGTCTCTGGTGAATGTTCTCATCCCCCACACCTCTGGCCTGTACTCCAGTTTTTGTATGCATAAATAAATAAATCTTTAAAAAAACAATTCACTACTAGCCACACTTACATGACATTGGTGATGTGAAGCACTATTTTCAGTGCATCACAATAACAATGACGGAAACAATTCTTTTTCATTCCTGAATTACTAATTTTCAGCGTGAGTAAGGTTTGAAACTGAGACTGCATTGAAAATAATTCCTACCTACCAAACTATCCCCTATCTGAAAGACAAAGCACACATGGTGATACTGAGGGAAAACATAGAAGACAACTTCAAGGGACAAATGGAACTATTTTACCAGAGGCAAATTTTAGCAAAAGTAAGTTCTATTGTATTCCAAGGACACAAACCTTGCATTTGCTACCATCATCTGACCAGGATGATCTGGAGAGAGGCATGGGCACCTGGGGGCTTCAGCACACTTTCCTTTCTGACAGGAAGGTTGGCCTTCCTGAACCCCAATTCCTGGTTTAGTCAGGGGCCTCTCAAGCCTCCTCGGGCTTCCCCTGGATGTCCACAGCTTGCCAACTGCCCTTGGAGACCCTGCCACACATAGTCCAGTCCCTTAAATCAAGAACAAAGGTGAGATGCAGCAGCCCAGAAGGGAAGAAATGAATAAGGGCCTCTGTGTGTGTGTGTGTGTGTGTGTGTGTGTGTGTGTGTGTGTGTGTGTGTGGGATGGGGGGGGGTGTTACACAGACAAATACATACTGGAGAGAAAAGGTGGGGAAGGGAGGAGACAATGGATGGTTTATTTGAAGGAAAAAAGCGCCATGATAGAAAAAGAAAATCCAAATATCCTTTGAAAGAAAACAGGAGTTGATAAAAAACAGCAGACAGACCACAAGCGCTGAGCAAGGACTGGATGGTTATCTAACATTATCCACCCCACCATATTTCTCTGGCGGGGCCGTCATATAATGAGCAGCATGGAGCGCAGAAGGCAGGCGCTGAATCCACCAAGGCTGATAGCCAGGGCCTGCCGTCAAGTGCTGGGCGTAGTCGCAGCTGGGAATGTCACTTGGTGAGCAGGAAGCATATTTTCTGAACTGCCACCATGTAACACTACAGCAGGCAATTTTGCACCTGAATTCTGAACACCCCCATGATTCTCATGTCAAAAAAGGATGACAAACACACACCTGAGCCACCTGCAGGTGGGAGGAAAGGCAGAGGGGCGGCTGGGCAGGCTCCCTGGAGTGAGGTGGGAGGGCCGGGCCACCAATTTCCCGGGCACTGAAGATGCCCAGAGTGCATCTGCTTTGGAAAACATTTCTGAATTCATTTATAGACTCGTGACAGATGCTAGATTAGCACAGAAGAAACCCAGAACACGGTACGGTGAGCCCCTTCCTTCCCAGCCAGCAGGCTCACTCACTGAGAAGGTGGGGAATTTCCCATTAGCGAAGCCTGGAAAACCCACAACTGCATCTGACTTAATGGTGCAGAGTGAGATGAGGGTCCTCGTTTACATCTGGAGTCCCTGCATGTGTGCCAGGTGCCAGGCTGGCCACTTCACGCTCCCCTCCCTCTTATCCTGAGCTATTTAAACCCCAAATTTACCAGAAGAAAGCACGGTATACACCTTAATTTGTGCAATTTTGTCAACTATACTTCAAATGATGCTGGAAAAGTTTTTTTTCTAATATTTTGATTATGGAAATAAAATAGCTGACTATTAGAAGGGAAAAAGGAGGGAACGGAGGGCAGGTTACTTGCCCATGTCACAGAGCTATTAAATAGCAGATCTAGGATTCAAACAGTCTGTGTGTGGCTCCCATCAGCCACCCGAGAGGAGAAACAACATTCTCCGGTTAGTTCTCAAAATACAGGTGCCAGTTTCCAGCCTTGGATCTCCCTGTCCAACAGCCGCTGGAACAGCCAAATCTCCTTTCATCTCAATGCAGTTACCTGGAAAACCAGTCTGCTTTCTGCTCATAAATAGACTCCACCCACAGTACAGAAGTTTCTAGGAGAGAGATGACTGGGTCACTCCCTAGTACCCTCGAGGTAGCGGGGGGGATGGGCATCATGTTGCTATCTCCACTTCCTGGTCCTTTGCCCACATGAAGATCACAGGGTTCCGACCTGGTGGACACTGAGTACCGGGATGCTGTGCATGCCACAGAAATTCCTTTCACTTACTTAACGACAGGTTCTGGAAGAGCTCCTGCCTGCACCCTCCTCTAGGCTGAGAGGATTACAATCTCCTTTGCCTGGTGGTATATGTACAATTTCTCATTTTAATCTTCTCCCCCTTTAAAACCCCACTTATTTCTCTTGCTACTTATCTCAAATTGGACTTCCATGAGTCCCTAAAAAAATCAGCTGTCTCAGGGGTGGTCCTTCCAGGTCTCTCAGATCTCCCAAACCCCCACAAACCCAAAAGAAGACTTAAACGAATTAAGGGGTGTCTGTCAAGCAGACCTGTGGTGTGTGCAATGAAAATACCGCAGGGTAACTCTCAGACAGGACCAATCTCCAGTGGCTCCCTAATAGTGAGAATGTTCTTTTTTTTTTTTTTAACCAAATAGCCTAGGATGCCTCAGGCAAAGTGACTGTCACAGGTATAGAAAGGTTTTAAATGTTGCAGAGCTTGCAGGAGTATATGTAATTTTATTTAAATGCCTACTAGTCTCTATTCTTCTGCCTAGAGGGAGATGGGCATTGTTCAGTTTTGCATGCTTGGCACATGGGTGAAGGAAGATCAGAATGTCATCCAAAAAGCCTTCAGTTTGCAAAATGCACAGAAAGGAGGACAATTGCAAACTTTCAGAAATAACAAGGTGGTTCAGCCCCTCAGATACCATGTTACAAAGGATGTGTTGCTTAAATTGGCTTCATAAATGCAAAGAGCAGCAGAGCTGGGGGCTACCTCTCCGCCACATGCTGAAGCAGGGCTGCACCTGGCTCAGGCGGGAGGAGATGCTGAAGAGTCTGTGAAGGAAGACAAAAGGCAGGCAGTGCAGGGGGAACCATCCACCTGGGCTTAGAAAGAGCCAATGCTAAGAGACGGCACACAGACATAAAAAGGCTGCAGAGCTTAACAAATTACAGGTCAGTTTATAATTTGGGAAGACGTGAAAATGTTTTATTTTCTCTTGACTAGGTAATGCATACACATGAAACAAAATTCAAAAGGCATAAAAGGATATTTGGTTAAGAGCCCACTGCCCTCCATGTTCCTCTCTTAAATAAAGGCAAGTGTGTTACTCTTGTGTATGAGAGATTCTGTGTCAGCGGTTCTCACGGAGTGTGATTCCCCACACAGTGGTGAGCCGCGGTGGAGTCGAGGGGCTTGAATGGACTGTGTCTCTCCAACTCTTGGAAGTGGCCCTGGAGTATTCACACCACAGTAAACGATACTTTTACAAAGAGTACTTTTTTTTTCTTTATGGAATCAGTGTACCAAGACCCTCCCAGGGGGTCCATGAACTGCTTTCATAATACCACCAGATGTTCTTGCCCCTTGCGGCCCTCACAGGTGCGGAGGAGAGCTACAGAGATGCCATCTCACAAAAGACCGAATACCC